GGAACTGGCTGTGTATGAGCTAGCTTTGCTGGCTCCTAAAACTTTTTGAGGGAAGGGAGATCTAAACAAAATCTAGTCCATGTCAGCTGAGTGACTGTGGGAGCACATGGAAGGATCACCCCGATTGTGCTCGACGGCGTTTCCAGCCACTCGCTCTTCGCCTCCGCCGCTTCTTCGGCCTGCGGGACGGACGTGAGGACGCAGCCTGCGCAGGCTCGGGGGGCGGACGTGAGGACGCAGGCTGCGCAGGCTCGGGGCAGTCTGCCGGTGAGGTGCTGCTGAGTGGCTCCTGCGCAGTGTCAGCGGAACCAATTAACTGGTCTTACCTTATCATTGTCGAAGGCGCTCTGAGGCCCTGGCAAAAGGGGCCTGGCAAAGTTTCACCAACTGTGTGTGCAGCAGCCCGCCAGGGAGGCGGAGTGCTTGGAGAGCCGGGGTGTTTTTGGCGTCGCCGGTGCCAGTGGTGGCACATGGACGTGCACCATCGGTGGCATCTGCTGATGCACCATAACCATGGATGGCATCTGCGGCGCAACGGGGTGCATCTGGGGGATCGACACAGGCGGCTGCGGCGGAAATTGCGGACGCGCAGTTGGCCTCGGGCATGAGGGTGATGCCGCAACCCACGCGCCTGGCGGCGGTGGAAGGGGCGGCGGAGGGGGAGTGGGGACGGCCTTGCTGCGCACTCCAGGAAATTTTGGTGGGGCGCATCGCCGGCAAGCTTGGCTTCGAGGGGCTTGTAGCAGCACGGCTTGTGAACGCCAGTGAGCTTGATCTCAGCCTGTTCCGCGTGCTCCTTGCGCGTGAACTTCATGAACACACTGCACATCATACTCAACAAAGCGCTCTGAACGCATTCAGCACATTGTCCTAAGCATGTCACAAGTTCCACCATAAATCCTTCCCCTGGTTCCGCTTGCTCCTGCTTACTTGCTTCAGCTGCGAAGCTGCAAGCGCTACTTCCGCCTCTTTCCAAAGCAAGCTGAGCTTGCGCCACCATCACTATCGCAGTCAGCTCTTCATGTTCCTTGAAAAAAGAGCTCGCCAAACAATCTGACACACACGTACAAATACGGTTTTCACTTCAAATAAAACCAACACCGCGACTAAAATGCTATTTAGTTTAGCTCTCGCGACCAAATTTAGTCTCGAAATTGTCTACAATTCGTCTCGGAGATTTAGATTCGGCCGAGTCTAAATTCTTGTTTTGGACTAATTTAGTCTCGAGACTATTTTTAGGCTCGATGGATCTATAGGGTAACAGACAAACACACGCTGCCACACAAACAGCCCGGCCTCCGCATGTCTTTTCTCGCCTATCCTTGTGTCTGGCTGTGGCGGGGCCCAGCTCCAAGCACCTGTGGTATTCCCAGAACACTATAAAAACTCCTGTCTGCCTGGCTGTTGCCTTAAACAAAAAAAGGTTGTGGCAATTAACTGGGGTCTGTGCCCACGGGCTGGCCTGCCTCAAGCACTTCACATGCCTCACCTGCCCGTGCTGAGCTCGAGTGTTGCGCGCTTGCTTGGTTGACCTGCTTGGACGCTAGCCTACTTGCCCGGAGTTGTCGCCTTCCTGCCTCAGGCTGCCCAGAAATGGAAAAGCAAGCGCTTGTTTTGTCGAGAAACTACAAAACATCAGTTTATTCTGCTTGGCTGTGCTTACATGGCCATGGGGCTTTGCTATGCATATTCTGCTGAGCCTGTCCGCTTCCTGGCCACCTTTCTGGCCGGACCACCTCTCTCTCTCTCTTCGTTCAGCTTGGTCATAGCGCGGTGCATCGCGCCGCCGCTGTCCATCATTGCGGACGGTTGCAACCACACTCGGAGCTCATCTGGCCGCACCAGCATTCTCTCCTGCCTCTCCTCTCCCACAACGAACTCCTCTGTCTCGATCCATTGACCGTCGAGACCTATATTTTCGAGTCTGGCCGTAGCTCCCAACACGTGGGGTTCAAGTGATGGAGTGCAGTTGGTGGAGTTGTGTGAACTTGCGGGGCGTGCAAAGCCCAGTCGGTTTTTGCGCGGCCTTCCCCGTGGTCGTCTTTGGGGGGGCGAGTCTTCCGGCTCGCGCACCTTGCGTGGCCGCCCGCTTCCTTCGTGCTGGCTCGGGCTCCTCGCGGGCAACTCCCTCGAACATAGAGGAGGGTGGCCCGTGTCAGGTGGCCCTGAAGGTTGTGGCGGCCGTGGTGGGTGTGGTGGTTGCGCGTGGCCCGAGCTGCTGGCCCCCGGTGTGGGGTGCCAGCCGGGATCGTGGTGGAGGTTGGTGTCGTAGTTGATCGCAGTGGATCGTGGCCGTGGTCGTGGGATTTCTGGTGGAAAGTTCCGAGCGTTGAGATAGCTGGGCTTAACTCCTGGCCGCCAGCTGCGTGGAACGAAGTCACGAGGCTCGCGGATGGGAGTTGTGTTTCCCACTGTGTGGGCCGTGGTGGGTGAAGTTGACGTTCTCTGACTGCATCCACCACTGGCTGGTCAACCCCGGATTGCTTCAATTCGAAGCTCT